CTACCGGCTGCTTGGCTTGTGTGCTGTTGTCCTCCGGGCAGATCTCTTCGGCGGCCTCGTGCAGGGCGAGCTTGCTTTGCCGTGGCCGTGCATTGCTGCAGTTCCGACCTCGGTGCTGTCGCAGGAGCGTACCGACCTTGTGTCCTGCAGCTGATGGAGTGGTGCGGCATGTGGAGCTGTTGCAGACACGGTTGTCCTCCAGGTACGCTTGAAGCTCGTCGTCGAAGCGGCGTGCCTGGAAGGTCGTGCTTGGGGACTGTCCTTGTGGCGGCAACGCGGCCTCTGCTTCGGCCCTGGTCGGACCCACGAAGCGGAAGCCCTGGGGCATGTCTGGCTCCTCGGTGCGCCGTTGCCGCGGCATTTTCCATGGCGTGCGCTCATGTTGCTGCGCGCCTCCATTGCGACTCGGTAGTTGTACTCCTTCGATGGCATGTGCTGTTCGTCAGCAGCGGTTGCAAGCATGCTGGCCTGCTGATCCAGCCAGTCGGCTGTGGCCCACATGTAATCTTCTCCTGTCATGTAGGATACCTGCGCGGAGTTGGGGGCGGGTGCTTCTTCCCCTGGTCGCCGTTGCTTCGACGCACCTCGAGGTCGTCGAGCCAGATGAGGACGGGCATCGTCCTTGGTGCGCGCTCTGCGGGTGCCGTTCTTATGATAGCATGCAGCCCTTTCACACACGGGGCTCTTCGGGGTTTGTGATTGCCGTGATATCAACTGCCCACCGGAGTTGCCCGGGGTCAATGGCGCGGATGTATAGGTTGCGCCCGGGCAGGAGCTGGTAAGCCGAGAGCTCGAGTCGGCGCGTGCTTCTGCACTGCATGTTCAGTTTCTGTCATATGATGGCGAGCAGCATATGGACACACGGCAGCAATTGGGGACTCTCGGTTTTTTTTTTCCTTCGTGTTGCTTGGAGCGATGGTTGTTGTCCGAGGCCGTCGCCAGAGCACTGCGTGTGATCGCGACTGCGAGCTTTCCCAGGTACGTCGCCATTGCTGCGTCGCCAAGGCGCTCGGCTCAGCAGGCGGAGGCATTCCTTTATCGCACGCGGCGACGGCGTTGCCTGGCGTGCTTTTCCGCGGCCTGTTGCCGACATCTCCGAGCCAGCATCAGATGCTTCTCGAGCTTCTGGAGGCCTTGTTTTGTGACAAGTCGTCCGTTCTTCTGTCGTCCCCGCCTGATGCTCGCGACCACTCCTTGTACCTGTCGGAAGATGCTCTCCCAGTCGGCTCTGGCTGCTTCGGAGAGGTCGCCTCGTCAGGGTTCTCGCACAGAGCAGTTCTGTCTTTGGCGGCGGTTGGTGTCCGTTAGGTGCCTTGAGCTTTTTCCACCAGCTGGTTCACTGCATAGCCGACCGTCCTGTAGAGACACGGCATGGCGCGGAAGTCCATGGCTCGCTGCCGGGCGAGTCTACCCGCAGGTTTCTGCTTGCCAGTGCCCGTTGCTGCTTTCGAGCCGACAGGCGGAGACAGCGTGCACGCTTTGGTCTGTGACTACACACCTTCCCTGCGCACCAATGTGCCCCGCGCTTGCGGTTGGCTTTTCTGTATCTCGGTATGTCAACTGCGGCTACCGGGAGTCCGCGTGGGTCTGCGGCCTTGCTTGATCTCGGTGCAGTCGAGTTCGATTGGCCTGGGCCTGGTGACTGTGTTGCCAAGCAGAGCGCATGTATCGAGCTGCGGGGTCTGGGCAAGAGACTAGATCGAGGTTGGAGTGAGGTAGCGGCGGTCATGGGTACGTGTAGCTCGGACAAAAATCCTCGGCTCAGTCCGAATCTTCTGTATCCTCGGCATGTTGCAGCGTGCGGGCTTGTAAGGGCACGACGTTGAAGTCCAGGCCGTCTTCCCTCGACCATCGGCACCATCCCATCGTCGCCGCTCCATGACAGACTTCCTCCTGTGCGCTTGAGCGACATGGTTGCGTGATTTCCTGGCGACACGTACTCACTGGATGGCTCTTTGATGCTGTGCTCTCTGCGTGCATGTATGCACAGCTGCACAGGTGTGTTCCTGTGTGGTTGCTTGCTTTGCTGCTGGGAGGCGTGGGTGTACATGTACCAGTTGCCGCTGTGCCACCACCACCACTCGCCGTCTGCCCTGCCGTGCCGCTGCTAGATACTGCTGGCGCGAGCTTGTTGCTGTGTCGGCTTTGGCTTTGGTCCCCGCCTGAAGGGTCTTCCGGTCGAGTGGCTGCTGTTGGTCGATGGAGACTGGCCCATCTTGAAGCGGCCTTGTTTTTCTTTGGGTAGGGCGAGTGGAGGGGCGGGAGCGGGGTGGAGTGGGGAGGTGGGGCATGTCGTTCTTTGTTTTTGAGCTAGTGGTTCTACTGTTCTGGCCTCGCTGGACACTGCAACGATGGCGGGAGCGAGGGTGTGCACTGCGGAGCCAAAAGCTCTTCGGGCGTGGTGGGTTAGTTTGCTGTCGGGGCTTCTGAGAGAATTCCACTCCATGTAAGGATGCGGCAGAGCTTGATTGTCTCTCGAGTCGACCTCTCTTTCTTACCGGAAGCCCGCGCGTCGAAGTCCTGCTACTGGTGTCTGCCCAAGTCTAAGTTCGGGCTTCATCCGCACTCAGATTTCCGGCTCTTCTTGTTGGTGGGCTGGCCCACTTTGCATCGCTTTTTGACATGGCTGCGGTGGGTCATGTCGGGTCTGGGCTTCGCCGCTTTTCGCATGCTGCGGTGTGTTGCCCCCACTTCCTTGGTGGGCGCAGCCATTTCCGCGCGTAGCTGTGCTGCTGTGGCCATGCGACATGCTGCGAGCGCCTGTTGCTGTTCGGGACTTTCCAGGATGTTGTGGACCTTGACCCAGCTCACGCTGCCGCGGCTTCTCCCGACGTGCAAGGGTTCCCGCAGGATCCGAGGGTCTTCGAGGAGCCAGGCATGGACGCAGGCGGCTTTGTTCGCGTAGCGCTCGATCCTGTCTGGGGCGACTCCGTGCTTGTCCTCGTGCAACGCTGCCTCTGTCGTGGTAAGCATTAGGCACCCACTGACTTTCACGCTGCCCCAGCAGCGACCTGTCTTGCTGCCCAGCAGAAGAACGCGCTTTCCCAGGGCATCTTTGCAGGCGCTCTTGCGCAGCTCCCAGCCTTTGGTCCCTGCGAGAATCTGGCACAAGTACTCGGGCCTGATGGTCAGTCCGCTGCTGTGAATCACTGCGTCGGATGCCTTCCGGGATCAGGTGGTGCGACGGGGAGAAAGAAAGGGAAGCGACACAACTTCTTTGAGTGCCGCACTTCTTGTGCGACCTCGCCTGACTTGCCAGCCCCCGAAGTGGCGTCATGACCTCTCAACGAGCGACACGAAAGCTTGCGCCGTCGGTGTGACCGAGCGAGTGCCTTCTTCTTGGCAGAGCGGCAGCTGGGGTGTTTGCTATAGTTTTGCTGATTTCGAGCACAAAAAAAGCTGTCGCAAGCGCCACCGGTTCTTGCCGCTTGCGTGGCTGTTTCGCTTCATCTGTCTGCGGGGGCATGGCTGACACCTCGTGCTGGGCGTGACGTCTGTTTTACCTGTCCGAGGTGCCTCGTCTGGTGTGAGACGCGCCGGCCTTTTAGAGCCGTGCTATTGGCATGAAGCTCAGACCCATGCGATGATTATCGCGGATGAGCACGGTGTTCGTCTTCGCTTGCAGCCGCACCTTCGAGACCAGAGCGTCCTGCGAGTTTGAGGCTGTGCTGGACTGGCTTTCTTGCTTGTGCAGATCTTCGGGGTCTGGCCACTTGCATGTCATGGTTGTCCTTCCTGACGCGGAGATGACCCACCTGGCAGAAGGTCGCCGATTTGATGAGAAAGCAGCCGATGTACTGCGATGCACTAGACACGACCCGGTTGCTCTGGCCGTGGCCGGGTGTGGTGTCAGTATCCATCGTCGGTGTTCACCTCTTCCCACGTGACGCTGGGCCTGCCCAGAACGGAGCACGTGAAGTGTATGTGCTGTGCTGCACAACTGAGGTCCAGACAGAGGCTTGCGGTTCCGCTCGGCGATCCTTCTCACGCGCCTGCTCATGGCACAGATTCGCACACGCGCTCGGCTTTCCGTTTGGGATGAGCAGCAGGAGCTCCACCCGGATGTCGATCTTGCCGGCATTGTCCGTGGTCTTTGTTTGTGCCAGTGCCTCGACCGTGCCGAGGAATTCACTTCCCGTGTTAAGATCCTGCTGGAGGCCCCGGCCAGCTTGTAGAACTCGTAGGGACGCGCGTGCGGAAGGTCGCCCATGAGGCGCCAGACCTTCTCGCGGCCCTGTGCGAGTCACACGGTCTGCCGAGTTGTAGTGGCACTTACAGGCACCTTGAGGATGTTGCCGCTTTTCAGGGTTGTCACGAACCTCCAGCCAGAGAGAACAGACGACTGAACGGAATGCGCGGGCACGACTTGCGCCTCGGGTCGTCGGACATGTTGTGGGAGCTTAAGATACCACTCAAGGTTTCCAGGCAAGCAGCTGGAGCGAGTGCAGGAGCGCTGCGGCAGGTGGGCTAGCTTTATCGCAGCATGTCTTGCCGACACGCGTGACATGTTGGCAGGGCCCGACATGTGCACGCAATGCTCAATTTTAATGCTTGTGGCCACGCGGGTCCAGTTTGGGTCCGTCCGCATGCGGACTTCGGGTGCTTCTTTGGGTCGATGTGTTTGGCGGCATCCTGGGGGCTTGCACAGAACGCTAGCTGGCTGGTGAGAGCGTGCATGCATGTAATAGTGACCTGGCGGCCTCTGTGGTCGGGTGGCGATGTCGGCCATGCCTTGGCCGCCAGATCACGGTTTCGAGTGTTCAGGCTGGGCGGGTCTCAGAACGCTCTTCAGGGCTTGGCTGGGTCCTGGATGCAATCGCAGGATGGACTAGGAACTGGCACCTGCTTCGCTAGCGGCAGGCGAGTTGCGAGGGTCGCTGCACCTTGGCTGCTACGCCCGGCTTTATTGGACGTGCCGATCCTCTGTTTCGCTCTTTGCTGCGAAGGCGGGCGCGTGCATGCCTTTTTTTTCCGCGAGCTTTCCCGCCAAGACGGTCTGCCTAGGGCCTAGAGCAAAGGCTCTCCGCCAAGGCTCTTCGCAAGTTGCGTGCGGCCATGTCGGCTTTTCTCCGGAGCCTGCGAGTTGCGGGTCTTGCCGGGATTTCCTGCGACCATACTATGAAGTTATGCACTGGCTCGAGGGAGCAGTCGCTCAGCACCAGCCGCACGGGCTGCGTGCCCGACTTCAGGCACTCTGCCTTCAGTGCCAGTCTCTGTGCTGTCTTGCGCAGGTGTCGGAGTGTCACATTTGATAGGACATATCTCACTGGCTGCTGGATGCGGCGGCCGCTCAGCGTGAAAAAGTTGGCCGTGAGGGTGTCGCGGCACGCCTCTAGCTGGCACTGCACCACCAGGGGTGTCTCCGCCATCCCGGCACGAAACTGTGCGGGGTGTTGAGTATGCAGTGGGAGAGTGCTAGTGTGGCGGCTAGCCTTGGTGTGTTTGTGGTTGCGTCATGGGTTACGGTGACCTAATTAACCTGCTGCTGGCAGAGCTCCTGCTGTCTGTGCTGCTCATGGTGCCAAAGCTTGAGTCCAAATTTGCTCTACGGCGAGTGTGTGCGTTGCGGCAGAGAAACCTGACACTGGAAGCTGACGAGTTCAGGAAGAATAGCAGGGGTGTTGCGCGAGACAGTGTTTTGACAGTGGGAGCGTGCACGCATGTGATTGCAGCCTGGCGGCTGCTGCGCGTTTCGGCCCTGTTGGCCGTACCTTGGCGTCCAGATCAGATGATTGCTAGCACATTGGAAGCCTAGCATGGACAGATGTGGACATGCACGTGTTTAATTGCAGCCGAGTCGCTTGCAGCAAAAATCAGTCCTTGGCTTGGACATGTTCAGTGAATGCATGCGTGGGAAGTATGAGAGTGTGAAGGTCTTCGAAGGCACCCCCCAGCGTACTTAGTACTGGGATGGCCTTATTTAGGCGCCTTATAAGAGAATGTCCCGCAGCACACGCTCCCTGCTTCCCCGATGTTTCTGGTCGGATTGAAACATCCTTCGCCCATATGTGTTCACCTATTGGAGATAGATCGGATCCCCGGTAGTAACGCGCACCCGCGAGCGAGTACACGCGTTCCCGTTGACAGGCTCAATGGGAAGCCCCCTTGGCCCTTGGCACTGAGGAAAACAAACCGATCCTCGCGCAAAGCGCGTCCGTGGCACACATCCCAAAAGTATGCCCGCGGCCTACTTTTGGAATGCGCAAGGAAGGCACCTCGGCTCTTTTTAGGTATTTGGAGGCCGCTTCGCTAGCGAACTGGCGCGTACAGCAGTCGCTGTAGTTCAACGCCATTGCTAGCTTCCAAAAGACAGTTAGCATGTCCCCTTAGGGGGCGAGCGGAGGGTCCCAAAAGCGCATTGTGTGTACGGTTCGGGTTCGGCGTTTTCGGTGCTTGGCTGCCACTTGCCAGGCCTCATAAATTGCCGGCAGGTGGCAATCCTAAGGGGTGTAGATTGTCAGAAGGTGGGAATCCTGGTGGGGGGGGGGGGGCTAGATTGCCAACAGGTGGCAATCACACCCGCGTTTTTGGTGCTTAGCTGCCACTTGCCAGGCCTAATGGATTGCCGACAGGTGGCAATCTTAGGGGGTCTAGATTGTCGGAAGGCGGCAATCGTAGCGGGGTACAGATTGTCAACAGGGGGCAATCACAGGGGATTTAGATTGTCAGCAGGTGGCAATCTTAGGGAGTACAGATTGCCAACAGGTGGCAATCTTAAGGGGGTACAGATTGCCAACAGGTGGCAATCACAGGGGATCTAGATTGTCAGCAGGTGGCAATATTCGGGGGTACAGATTGCCAACAGGTGGCAATCTTAAGGGGGTACAGATTACCAAGAGGTGGCAATCCTGGTGGGGGTTGGTGGAAAGGGGGCGGATGGCTGTCACACTCCCTTGCTGGCCGGTTGCCCTTTGGATTGTCAGCAGGTGGCCATTTTCAGGGCTTCAGATTGTCAGCTGGTGGCAATCTGGGTGGAGCTTGGTGGAAAGGGGGCGGATGGCTGTCACCCTCCCTTGCTGGCCGTTTGCCCCTTTGGATTGTCAGTAGCTCTGGACCCTCCCGGCGGATGCGGGTGAAAGCGATGATGGCCGTGTCGCCGCCCCAGTGACCCGGATCGCTTTGGAGGTATTGGCTTTACTGTAGCCAGGCCTGCACTTGCTCTTCGTCTTCTTCGGCTTCTGCGTTCTCTCTGAGGTACTGGATGATTAGGGCTCGGAGGCATGCCCCGCTCTCGCCGGTGTTATCTCCGAGCGCGTGGAAGAGGCAGTTGCCGTCGCCTGACATCTTCTTGATGGCCAGCGTGCCCCGAAAGTGCTCCTCTCGGGTGCATTGTCTGCTTGCCTAAAGAGCGCTCTTGACAGTGGATGCTCGAGGGAAAACGCCGGCCTCGACGCTGGGTCCGGGCTCCGTGTCGTGGTCGGAGTCCGTCTCGGCCCCCCCTCGTCGAGCGGCCGGTCCTTCGTGAGATGGTTCAGCGGCATCCCTTGCGAGCTTTGCCGCTTCCTCGGCTTCGTTGCTTGGCGCTGTTGCCTCGGCGGTTCTGTCGGCCTGTGCACACAGTGGGTCTAGACGCTTACCGGGGGGGGAGTGTTCCTGCTTTTTGTTATTTTGGGGGTGCGGGGTTTTGACACTGCAGCCGGTTCTACAACTGGGGTTGCGGTCCCCTGTTCCCTGTGGTTGTTGCAAGGATCGCGCTTCTTTTTACCTCGGCTGCGGCGGTGGTTCGATCAGCCAGAGGTAGACGTGCTTCCAATCCTCTTTGGGATGAAGCCGTCTTAAAAAATCGTACAGTGGCTTGCCACTGTTGGGTGAAACATGGGCCTTAAGGTCTCTGGTGATGCCTTTGACCCGCCCATCGAGAACCTCCTCCTCGCCGATCCCCCGGTACCTCACGGACTTGGTGCCCTTTGGTCGACCGGGTTTCACGGCGAGGAGGGGCATCACATCCATCCCCCTCAGTCCTTCAGCCTTCAGGTGGTTTTCCACGGTCATCGAAACGCCACGCCTCAGGCAGGAAAGCGGGCGGATCACCCGAAAGAAATTGCCTGCAAATTGAGGCCCCCGCTCCAACCTGCGGACTTCGAGAACGGTGTTGGTACACCCCTCTCTACGCATCTTCTTCAACTGGTTCTTCGACACCTGAACGAGGCTTACTTGAAGGCCACTTGCTCTTCGACCGCTTCCGGCCTTGGATCTCATGGCTTCAAGCAGACCCCGGGCGCCCACCCCGGCTGAAGGAGCTTGAGATTGCAAATCTGCAGAAGTGATCGGCTCTTTTTAGGTATTTGGAGGCCGCTTCGCTAGTGAACTGGCACATACAGCAGTCGCTGTAGTTCAACGCCATTACTAGCTTCCAAAAGACAGTAAGCATACCCCCGTAAAATGCGAACGGAGGGTCCAGAAACGCACTGCGTGTACGGTTCGGGTTTGTGTTCCTGAGGGGTCTAGATTGTCGGAAGATGGCAATCCTGGTTGGTGGGTTGGGGGGGGGGGTCACATTGCCAACAGGTGGCAATCACACCTGCGTTTTTGGTGCTTAGCTGCCACTTGCCAGGCCTGATGGATTGCCGGCAGGTGGCAATCTTAGGGGGTCTAGATTGTCAGAAGGCGGCAATCGTAGGGGGGAGGGGGGGCATAGATTGCCAACAGGTGGCAATCACAGGAGATCTAGATTGTCAGCAGGTGGCAATCTTAAGGGGGGGGGGGGGGGGTGTCACATTGCCAACAGGTGGCAATCACACCTGCGCTTTTGGTGCTTAGCTGCCACTTGCCAGGCCTGATGGATTGCCGGCAGGTGGCAAGCTTAGGGGGTCTAGATTGTCAGAAGGCGGCAATCGTAGCGGGGCACAGATTGCCAACAGGTGGCAATCACAGGGGATCTAGATTGTCAGCAGGTGGCAATCTTGGGGGGTACAGATTGCCAACAGGTGGCAATCTTAAGGGGGTACAGATTGCCAACAGGTGGCAATCACAGGGGATCTAGATTGTCAGCAGGTGGCAATCTTAGGGGGGACAGATTGCCAACAGGTGGCAATCTTAAGGGGGCACGGATTGCCAAGAGGTGGCAATCCTGGTGGGGGTTGGTGGAAAGGGGGCGGATGGCTGTCACACTCCCTTGCTGGCCGGTTGCCCTTTGGATTGTCAGCAGGTGGCAATCTTCAGGGCTTCAGATTGGCAGCTGGTGGCAATCTGGGTGGAGCTTGGTGGAAAGGGGGCGGATGGCTGTCACACTTCCTTGCTGGCCGTTTGCCCCTTGGGATTGTCAGCAGCTCTGGACCCTCCCGGCGGATGGCTGTTACACTCCCTTGCTGGAATGGGGTTCAAGGTTTGTTGGGCTCTGGGGTTCGTCAGGGTGGAAGCGTTGAAGGGGCTTTGGAAAGGTTAGGGCTCCAGGAAGCTTCGTCTGTCACCACTACAGTAGGGCTCCCGGAATCTTCGGCATCCACCGCTACAGGAGAGCTCCAGGAAGCTTCGTTGTTCGCCTCTCCAGTAGGTCTCCAGGAAGCTTCGGTTTCCGCCTCTACAGTGGGACTCCAGGAAGCTTCGGCTTCACTTCTACAAGAGGCCTCCAGGATGCTTTGGTTTCGACTCTACAATAGGGCTGCAGGAAGCTTCGGTATCTACCTCTACAAGAGGGCTCCAGGAAGCTTCGGCACCCACCGCTATAAGAGGGCTCCAGGATGCTTCGTTTTTCGCCTCCACAGTAGGGCTCCAGGAAGGTGGGCTTTGGTGGGTAGGGGTTTCGGGGGTAGGGGTTTAGGGTTTGGGGTTGGAAGAGCTTGGTTTGAGTAGATTGAAGGGTTGTCATTTTTTGTGGAGCTGGTGTTTGTTGCATGGGGCCGCGGTGTCTGCAAGTCAGGTCAGGGCTTTGGGATGGGGGTTTGCTGTTGTGTTCGGGGCTATGACGAAGGCTTTCGAGATAATGGTTTGGTGTTGGGGCTTTAGCTTTCTTTTTATGGCCGAGGCCGTATTTTATTAGTGGTTCGGGGTTTGTGGTTAAGGGTTCCTTTTAGGGTTTGTGTCGCCGTACTTTAAGGGGTTATTTCCTGGTTTCGAATTCCATTGCGTTTCCGCTAGTCGCTTTAGATGTTTCAAGTTCCGAAGAAGTCGACCTGAGCCCGCATGTCCCTTTTGGTAGGAACGCTTCAACTTTCAAGTTTTATTTCATTTGAAGTCTGGGTGCTGCCCGCGACGTTGCTTCTCGGGTTGTTTAGGTTGCTTTGCGTCGGGACGTACGTATTTACCTTTCTTGCTCAGGTGCAGCTTCGAACGCTTCCGCCCCGGCTTCTTCGTCGTACCTGGGCCCTGATGCCCTAATGCCTCAATGCCCGAATATCCTAATCTCCTTAAGATCCAAACATCTTGGCGC